CATTGATATCAATGAACTTTGAATCAGGTTTATAGTTATAAGGGACAAAGTTAAAAAGCATGTAGATTATGTGATCCTAAAGAAAAGAGAGTTTCATGGTGATGGCCAAGATAAGAAAGAGTTACTGTTAGCATGTAACACAAGTAACTTTACTTTTTTGTGTTTGGTGGGGAAGGAGAAGGACGATATTCCAGTGCTCAACTAACTCAGCTGCTGTAAATTGTCATAGCTCCACTGACTGCAGGATCTGCCCCAATAATCTTGCAGGATTAGCAGAAATCAGAACGCATTCAGACTGGGAAAAGCAAACACTATATTGTAGGGTCAACTCCATTTTTAGCTTATATATTTCAAAGAGGCTACATTCTTAAACTGTCCAAACCTTTATGTAAAAAGAACAGGAGTACAGACTAACACGGCTGCTACTCTGAAACAAATCTTTATGATTATTTAAAATCTTTAAAAGACAGAGAGAGATGACTAATAATTAGATGACTGGTTATATAATTGAAATTCTGATTCCAGTAGGAATTTGAAGATGAAAGGTCAGCTATAATAATACATTGATTAACATATATGATTCAGGAACACTGAAATAAAACAGTATAGCAGCATTTCTCAATAACATTCAAATTACCCATATAATTCTATATATGGCACAAGCAACATATTATCAGTACCTTTTCTGTACTGTTAACTTATATCCTTCCAGAGATATGCCATCATCTGTCTCAACTCTAATTGGATGACCAATAGCTAGACAGCTCTGTACCAAAGCTCGACTCAGAATCATTCCAGCCTTCCAATGAATGGAGAAAAAAGGGTTTGAATAAGTTAAAAGAACCAGAAAATTCAACAATGTGTCACAAATAGAGAGGTCATTATGCCTGGATAACCCAGGATATTAACAGTTACAGAAAGTGAAACACTACCCACAACTTAGCAGTCAATGAGCCCTGCTCAGAACCAGTGATCTTCTGTACAACAAGGGTGGCATTTTACAGTTCAGTGCAAAATAGAACAGACCCTTGATATCTTCATTTGTCCTTTTTCTGTGCATATTTCACAGTGCAACGATTTAGGGTCCATAACGTGTCACTTGCTATCCTTATAACTACAGAGTTTACTTGAAATATGTATGCACAGAAAAAAAGTTCAGTGAACTGCAAAGATTGCAACAAATCTATAGTCTTTGAGTCAATTTAAAGTTTTACTCCATGTCTGAAACAGTGCTGGTTAAACATCTTTAAAGACTAGTTTGAACTGTTTTTTGTTGTTGTTGTTCTAATGGCCAAACTTACTCCCAAAGCAGATGACTGAAGGCTTTGTTAGAAGTGAAACATTTAACAATATTTTATGACATTTCTTTAATTTGCATTTAAAATTATAACAGGTATTTTAACAAGATTTTCCCAAACATTATGTTTGCAATATTTTAATATATTATCAATTGTGGCAAGAGAAAAATAGGACAAAGGAGATAGAATAGAAAATAGGAAAAGATTTATTGGATGAAGTAGCTTAGCACCCTGCCAGAGCAGGATTGACCCCCAAAGAATATTTGCTAACACTTTGTCCAGTGTTCCTTAAAAAGCCCCAAATAATGATGGGGGGGGGGCATGTCTCACGACTTTTTTTGGGAGCCTATTCCACAGCCTCATAGATCTCACAGTCAAGAGTTTGTCCTGACAGTTATTGATTTTCATTCAATTATTTCTAGTTATATCCTCTTTTACAATCATAAATAATTCCTCTCCATTATTGGTACACACCTATCACTATGAAAATGTTAGTTTTAAAGAACAGTTTAAAATGTAAATCATCACCTGATATAATTTTTATCAGTCTTGGAAAACTGTCATGAAAATTTATCTAGTCGACTGCAAAATCTACTCACCCACCCTTTACCAGGCTTCATAGATTCATAGACTCTAGGACTGGAAGGGACCTCGAGAGGTCATCGAGTCCAGTCCCCTGCCCTCATGGCAGGACCAAATACTGTCTAGACTATCCCTGATAGACATTTATCTAACCTACTCTTAAATATCTCCAGAGATGGAGATTCCACAACCTCCCTAGGCAGTTTATTCCAATGTTTAACCACCCTGACAGTTAGGAACTTTTTCCTAATGTCCAACCTAAACCGCCCTTGCTGCAGTTTAAGCCCATTGCTGCTTGTTCTACCCTTAGAGGCTAAGATGAACAAGTTTTCTCTCACCTCCTTCTGACACCCTTTTAGATACCTGAAAACTGCTATCATGTCCCCTCTCAGTCTTCTTTTTTCCAAACTAAACAAACCCAATTCTTTCAGCCTTCCTTCATAGGTCATGTTCTCTAGACTTTTAATCATTCTTGTTGCTCTTCTCTGGACCCTCTCCAATTTCTCCACATCTTTCTTGAAACGTGGTGCCCAGAACTGGACACAATACTCCAGTTTAGGCCTAACCAGTGCAGAGTAGAGCGGAAGAATGACTTCTCATATCTTGCTCACAACACCCCTGTTAATGTATCCCAGAATCACGTTTGCTTTTTTTGCAACAGTATCACACTGTTGACTCATATTTAGCTTGTGGTCCACTATAACTCCTATATCCCTTTCTGCCATACTCCTTCCTAGACAGTCTCTTCCCATTCTGTAGTGTGAAACTGATTGTTCCTTCCTAAGTGGAGCACTTTGCATTT